AATCCTGGTTATGCCATGGTGTTTTTCTCCTAGTGTTTGATAATCCTGGGTATACCATGCAGCTTCACATCTAGTGTTTAGTTAGCTAGGTTACTTCAAATAGCTTTTCCTCTACTGTTCAATAATCCAGGGTACATCGGATAACTTTTACTCCAGTTCTGATGATCCAGGATATTTCAGATAATTTCTTCAGTGTTTAATAAAACTTTGAGGACAGCTGTTGAGTGGATTACTTTATTTTTAGAAAATTTATTACAACGTTTCGACCACTTGTGTGGTCATCATCAGGTAAATTTATGATATAGTGTTAAGTATTAGTAATTACTCAAGCATTTATTCCAATTTAGAATAGATATAAAGAGACACCTATATTTTGATATAAATTAGGTTTTAAATCACGGATAATTAATGCTTCTTTAATTTTCTTTCTATTGATTTTGTTTTCTTTACATAATTTAAAGTTGTTGTTATTGATTGGATGTTGATTTGTTATGCTGTGTTCATAAATGTATGATGGGGGATAGTTATGTAATGTCCCGTTTCACCTACATAAGAACTGTCGCATCTATTGCATTGAGATATGTAGATGCTGTCGTCATTGAAGTTATCTAAATAGGCCTTCTTTAGATGGTCTTTGATTTTTGTGCTCGGTTTTTCAACAAACACGACTTTATTATTAATGTTGTATTTTTTTTTTATACTTGTTTACAAATATTTATGACGGTTTTAGTTACATAACTATGATATGGTAAGATGTCTATTAATATGTCAGTGTTATTTTCACCATTCTTAGAGTTTATAGTGTTTTCTGTTTCTTTTTTGGTGTTGAATTTGTTTTTACATTTAGCTAAGGTTCTAATGACGATTTGTTTAGGGAAATTACTTTTGTTTATAAATGTCTCGGATATTGTTTCTAGTTCGTGTTGTAGATTTATGTCACTGCATATATTAAATGCTATGTTGTAAATACGTGATAATGTGCCGATTTTTTGTTGTGTGGAGTGGGTTGAATCCCACTTTATATAGTTGCTGTTATTACATGGCTTGTGATAGATTTTGGTGTTGAAACTATTAGTGTTTCTTTCTATTGCTATGTTCATGTAATTTAAAACTTGGTTTTCATTTTCTTCTTCGTAAGTGAATTTGATGTTATCATGGATGTTGTTTATGTGTTGTAGAAATGATTGTTGATGGTCGTTATTTTTGAAGCTACAAAATACATCATTGACATATTGAAACCAGTATGTGGGAGGGTTTAGAGCTGCATTGATGGCCAGACTTTCTATTTTGGAAATGAACAATTTGCACAATCCAGGCAATAAGGGGCTTCCCATCAATTTGTTCATATATTTTACCTTGACAGGTAAAACATATTTTTAATGTAAAGTGAAAGAAAGTTTTCAAAATTCAGGTTGTAAAGTAATATTTAAGACTTTTTTGATAATTCTAGAGCTAGGTTAGTTGCTTCCTCTATTGGTATCATAGTATGCATGGAGACCACATCAAAACTGTACATTTTGCGGTGATTGTTTAGGTTTTAAGATTTTTTTTTTTAATTTAGAACACTATCGATTTTGTAATTGTTGTTGTTGTGTAATAGTTTGATGAGAAAATCTAAAAATCGTGCAAGCTCATGATTATAACTGGCATAAGTAGAAAGTATAGGGTGGATGTCAATTGCATTTTTATGAATTTTTGGAGCACCAAACAAACAAGTGGTACATACATTGGTTACTCTTAAGATGTTGTTCATGTCTTCGATTATATCATTGTTCTTTTTTAACTTTAAAAGTAGGCTATTCAGTTGTTTTCCATAACATTCATTAAGGTTTGTGGTTAGTTCTCTAAATTTTGTTGAATCATTTAGATGTTCCATTAAGTTGTTGTAATCTTCTGTTTCTATAATTACAGTTTTTCCACCTTTATCAGCCTTTACAATAATAATTTGTGGGTTATTTCTTAGTTCTTTAAGGCTGATATTTGGCGTTTCGTGATATTTTGTTTATTTTTATGGTTTTTACGTAAATACCCTTGAATGAAATTTCTTGAGTGAAATCATATAGGTTTTGGTTGTCTTTGGGTATTTTAGGGAACCACATACTGTTAATATTTTTTTTCTTTTTTGCCTTGAAATATCTTTGTGCTCTTATCATCCGTTTTCATTTCTTGATGATCGATATCTGTTTCATTAACTTCAGTGGATGTGTGACTTTTATTTGTTGTATTAGTTCTTTGTTTATCTTTGACTGATTGTTGCACTAATCTTCTAGTTAAATCTTCTATTCCAGTTTTGATTCCTAAGGCTTGAACATTTTTTTTTGTCATTGCATATTTTAGGCTATTGTTTAAAATTCCTTCTTGCATTGGTGTTAGGGTTGTTTTTGATAAATTAACTGTATTAGTGGCTTTGTTTTTATTTTGTCGTTTTTATAGTCTATCTGATTCGTTTCTTTGATAAATTCAGATATTTTTTTAGTATGTCTAGTTTCAATTTTGTCTCGGTTGATGACTCCAAAGAGCAAACGTGAGTCATTCGACGTAGTTTTGGAGGTCAGAAGGTCGCGTAGTCGAATCTTCTTTTCTCAGGTTGTTGATGTCTCTGTATTTGTGTCTTATTGTTGCGTTTTGGATTTTCTTTTCTGCATTTTCGATGATGACTTGAATTTTTGGATTTTGTGTTTGATTGTTTAAGTCTATAAACTTAGGCATAACTTCTTCATATTTGCATCTCTTGAGAAATTTAAGGCTACAGATGATTTTTTTCTAACTTTACCTAGTTTTTTTTTTTGTGTGTGTGTGTTTTGGTGAATAGATCTTTTATTGTTATGCCATATTTTATTGTAAAATTTGTTGTTAAAGACATTTTATTTGAGACGGAAATCTTTTGAAGTTCAGCTTTTATATTGTAGGATCACTTTCAGTGGTAGACATTATATGGTAGGTTTCACAGGGTTATTGTTCTAGGAGAAGATTTCGAATCATGAGAAACATACTTTATTGTCTTTATGATATCCGAGGAGTTAGATTTGTTTGTGAATACAGTAAGATGATAGATATTATGTTGATATCATACCTGTGCATTTCTTGTATTGCCTTCTTTTTTTTTGTGAAATTAATGCTGTTGAAGCACAAATGTTTAGGCACGGCGAACGTGATACTGTGGTTTAAATTGGTTTGGCCTAGGCCAATAATAACATTAGGTCGTGTTTGTTCGAAAACCGAGCACAAAAATCAAAGACCATCTAAAGAAGGCCTATTTAGATAACTTCAATGACGGAAGCATCTACATATATCAATTCAATAGATGCGACAGGTCTTATATTAGGATTAAAGAACATAACAATCACACGTTTATGAACACAGCATAACAAATCAACATCCAATTAATAACAATAACTTTAAAATATGTAAAGAAAACAATATCAATAGAAGAAAAATTAAAGAAGCGTTAATTATCCGCGATTTAAAACCTAATTTATATCAAAATACAGGTGTCTCTTTATATCTATTCTAAATTGGAACAAATGCTTGAGTAATTACTAATACTTAACACTATATCATAAATTTACCTGATGATGACCACACAAGTGGTCAAAACGTTGTAATAAATTTTCTAAAAATAAAGTAATCCACTCAACAGCTATCCTCAAAGTTTTATTATTTAAATTAAAAGTGGATTTCCCTCTCCTTTCAACAGTAATTCTCCAGTGTTTGTTGGTCTAGGTTACTTCAAATAGCTTTTTCTTTAGTGCTCAATAATGCAGGGTACATTAGATAGATTCTACTTTAGTGTTCAGTAATCCAGGGTACATTAGATAGCTTCTTCTTCAGTGTTTGTTGGTCTAGGTTACTTCAAATAGCTTTTTCTTTAGTGTTCAATAATGCAGGGTACATTAGATGGATTCAGTTTTTGATTATTTGGGATACATCAGTTAGTTTCATCTACAGTGTTTAGCAATCCAGTATATTTCATATTACTTCTCCAGTGTTTGATGATCTAATATACATCACCTAATTTCACTATTATATTTGATGATTCCTTATACATTGGATAATCAAGAGTGTCAGTAACAGAATAATCAGTATTTAAGAATGCAGTAAACATATAGTTGTGCAATGTTTAGTGTTTGTTAACCCAGGGTTCATCATCTAATGTTTCCTTCATTACTTGATACATTGCATCACCTTTCCTTTAGTGTTCGATAATCCAAGATGCATCTTTGGTATTTAATAGTTTAAGGTATAGTATTTATATTACATTGTTTTTAGCAGTCCAAAATATATATTGTCTTGTGTTAATTTTTGTGCAAAACAAGTTATTTCTTCTTCACTAGTGTTCACTCATCAAAAGTAGATAAAGAATCTGTCACTCTAATACTAGAGAATATGTTTTTGTCAAATAATTTTTCTCTTTTTAAAATTATTTGTTTTAAATCATATACAAAACTTTGTGTTCAATAATATTTATATGTTTGGTTTTTGTTATTCATGTGATATTATGTTGTTCTGTACTTTGTTTGCTATTGTATTGTATTGGCTTGCTTACCTAGAACTACAGTGTCCCTAAACTAACATGTAAATTCAGATGGCTATAAGAGAAATACATTATTAATAACATGTTGCACATCTGTTTAGACCTTATAATATTTCAATCGATTCTAACTGACATATAAAGATTAGTTTCATGAAGTTTATTATGACTGATTTTGTGTAATACATATATTCAGTCTACTTTTTGATTTGGTGCATTCCTATTTTTGATTACAGGAAATAACAGTAAATTATCTTTTCCTAAACATGTTGAATTAATATAATGCTTCATAGCGGAATGTAAACAGAATTATTAACATTTCCATACAGAAGGACTTATTTTTTAGTATATTTTATGTTTTTGTGAGCTAGCATTGGTGGATACTTCTTGTAGTAATTATTTGACTACATGTACATGCAAGGTTTAATAAAATATTGTAAAATTTGAAGCTTTGTGGATTTTTTTTATGCTAAAACAAAGGTTATGTTACACAGCTTCTGATTGGATATTACTGAGAAGAACTACTCTTACATAAAACAATAAAAAAGTCCATTGATGGTTCAAAGGCTCACAGAAAGAAAAGTGTGGTAAACAAATTGAAAATCAAACATCCTTCTCCTAGTCTACTAGCAAGTAAGTAATTGATAAGGAATAAAGTCAGTAATTTCATTTTTAATTGTAGGCCCTTTTTTCCAATCAGTGATTCTCTTTGGGCTAGTAAAATTCTCTCAACTAGCATATAATTTAGAAAATATTTTAAGTACCCCATTAATATGAAAAGTTCTTATTAATTCATTGTATGCTTTATTTTGTTTAATAGATATTCTGGAGAATTATCTCTCTTATTTTCATAATATTAATTTAAATAGCATTTTTTACTCTTTTTTTATTTTCAAAATTTGGTGGTGTTGATATAATAATATTCTATGTAAACAGTAAATATAATTAGATTTAGATTTCAGGAGTGGAGAGTGAATACTTTAAGGTTTTTGTTGTGTTGCATGTAAGCATGATTAGAAAATCTCTATTATCATGTTGTACTACAATGTTTTTGTTATGCTACTGCAGCCATACTGGTTTGTTATAAAAAAAAATATCTTTAATAGGATTTCTACTGGTAGCTGTACTATTATTTATTTTGTTACTGCTTCAGACAAAATAATCATACCATATAACAATTTGGAAATGGCTAACCACCTGTAGAAATATTAAGGTTCTGAATGCACTCATGTTATGATTCATTTTTTGTGTAATGAATACATATTACATAATCCTTGACTTTATGAAGGCAAAAGCATTTGCATATACTTTTGGGTAAACAGTTTTATCAGAGAGTCTGCTTATACATATATCTCCCATTGGTTGACAATAATAATAATAACTATGTTAGTGATATTCCTAGAAAAATGGACTTGGTGTGGCTTATGACTCACAGGTTAGTTAGCTGAAATGTGAATCTGAAGGTCCATTCCATGAACTTGCACTCTGTACTTTGGGATCATGATGCATTTCAAGAAAGATGATCAAATTCCATTCTTCATTTAGAGTAGCTCAAGAGTTGATGGTGGGTGCTGTTGACTAGCTGCCTTCCCTCTAATCTAGTTCAAGATTATGGATGACTTACACATACACAGTCCACACGTATCTTTGTGCAAATATCCAAAATACAAGAGGAACACGTGCACACACACACACAAAAAAAAACTGGTAAAGATGCATCAACTGTTAAATGGATGTCTAACTTTGTTGAAAAGTGGGGGACAAAATAACATGAAAAACTTTATTTTAAATCATTGTTAAAAAGCTCTGATAAGTAAAGGAAGCATAGTTTTAGTGTTAAGTCGCAAAGAACAGTAAGTACTGTATAAACAGCAGTTCAAAATACTTGCCATGTCAAAAGCACTGTCATTATCTTGCAGGTGCAAACATTTAATCATGTGCTTGATCATTTTGTCAGTTTAACATAGTTGTTAATAATAATAAATACATATGTACAATAAATGAAAAAGTATGTGTTGGGGGATAGCTTGACCCTCTTGTAATCAGATGGAGAGCAGGTGGCTCTTCTACCCATGTGCAAAGTGTCTATGATCTGTTATATCTTGACACTAAACTTTGTGAGCCTATCTAAGTATATATATATATATAGTCATGCCACTGTGTTGTCAGGTTATAATATTAATAGAACATTGGATATTGTAATGTTTGTTTAATACAGTTTTGACATGAAGATATTGCATATCCCACTTTATATGTTTGATAAATTAAAACTTTGAAATTTCTTATAAGTTAAAATTCTGAGCCTTGTCTAAGGTCATGCTAATTCAATTTTAATTGTTACTCACTATGGCTTGAAGTGATCAAGAATGTTATCTGGTATTTTATCCATCATCTACCTGTGTGAGGTTAATTTACAGCTGAAACATGGAGTACATATTCTTGTGATCCAATTTTGTGATTAGTCAGTGATGAGAAGAATGCAGATTGTGAGAATAACTTTGTGACAGATTTATTTCTACCTTGGAGTTTAGACAGGCAGTGAATTCTTACCAATGTCTTTCTTAGTTCATCTTCAGAACTAGTGTTCCAAATGCCATTTTCTATGCTTAATTCTTGATTTTTACACCATCAGACCTAGTTTACTTATAGATAAAATTTTATTTCAATCAAAATACATTTTAATTGATATTCAAATCTTATTTTACGAAAAATTTGCTAAAACACAGTTTAATTCAATTGGTATAAAATTTAAGACTATTTTATGCAGAAGGCATATGAGGTTAATATAATGTTTCACCTATCATCACTGTTAATGATGCATGATCAGATTTAGAGGAATACAACACTGCATGGTAAAATTACAGTTAATCTTATCAAAGATGATACCATAAGTTAGAAAAAAGAAAATATTCCTAGATTAATTATCACTAGAAAAAAAAAAAATTACCATGGCTCCTTCATGGTATATCAGTACAACTGTAATGTCAACAATATCTAAAACACAACTGTACCATGTTAAAACCTTTTTTATTCATAAGCAAACTGCATAATTATGTTTATAGTTTTCCTGAATTTTCAATTCATAATGTAAAAATGTTTAAACAGCAATTCACTTAATTTCCATTCTGGCTTGCAATTAATTTTCAAAGAATATTAACCACAACTGGTTGGAAAAGTTGTTGGTAATTACATTATGCCATCACAACTAACAATATGAACTATAAATCTGTAGAGTTGATGTTATATGAGGTTTTTACAAAATAAATTTATTTCATTAAACTACTTAAGACATACATCATAAATCTTTATTATTACTATTAAGCTAGAAAATCATTATCTCATGATTATAATTTTTTTTATTCACAGAGAGCCACATATTATTTTGTAATATTGGGTATTAACTATGAGAGTTTAATATAGGCTAAAAAACTGTAATCAAAAGCCCTGATGTTGGTAGCTGTATTACCAAAACTAGTCAGCTGAAACAATTAAGAAAGAGTTTATCTTTCACTGTGTGAAACAAATGTTGGTTTTGTTTTTTACTCTATATATATATATGTCTGATATCTAAAATCTGAATGGGGTCTATTTTAGGTGGTTTAAAATAAGTTAAACGTGTGAAAATCACCATGCTTTCAAATGAAACTATTAAAATCAAACTATCAATTTAAAGTGGAGATTTTTTTAAGTATAACAGATTCACACCTGTAGCACATTTAATCTTTGTGGAATTAAAAGTTTATTACAAAATATTTTTTTAATCTCTAGTAGTATGCAGTTTATTCTTTTACTAAATAATATCTGAGGCATGCAGCAACTATTTGAGGAATTTATTTAAATCTTAGTTAATTGTGTGAGAGATCAAACTGAAACTAAAATCTGGATTCTATTAACATTACCTTTAATTGATATAGTTTTATATACATAGTAATGCTTTATGTATTTAAAAATGCATCCTAAGAAGTAACATCTCATCAACCCAATTATTAAACAGTTGCCATGAATGTTTTAAAACTATACTTATTTTTGAGTAACATTTAATTATTTTGTTTAATAAGTGTTTCTCCTGTAGTATGTTTTTTACAGAATTTTACCCTAACCATAAATAGCATATTATGAGCTGTAACTTGTAATAAATAGTTGGTTTTGAATAAGGTACAGAGAAAATTAGCTTGAACTTCAAGGTTTTTTAGATGCAGCAGAAACACTTTATTTAAATATAAATAAATATTAAAAAAAGTTTTAAACATGGTTTATATATAAAATACAAGAAAATGTATCAAACTTGGCTTAATGATAATAAGGCACCAATGTCTTTCAACATATGTTATAGTTAATGGGATTATTAATTTAAAACTACTACGGTGGTGTGGTTAACAAAAAAAATAACGTTTTTTAAAGATTAGTTTACTTAGTGAATATTATATATATTATAATTAAAACTCAGTATGAGTTTTTAATTTGTTGAGTTCCTAATAAATGCATTTACCATTATACAACTTTTTGCTTACAAATGTCTTAAAAATCCACTTAAAATATGTTTTAGCTGTGTAGTCTTGCTGATCAGTAGAATTAATCATACACTGTTTTGCTAACTTTAAAATGTCTAAAACATGATTCATTCACTCTATGCAACTGTACAAAGTCAATAGTTCCAGCCCATAGCATTCAAAGAATAAAGTTAATAAACCTCAGGAAAGAATGTATAACTAAATTGTTCATATATTTTGAAATTTATAATAAATGTTCTTGTTTATTTTATAAACAGCAATAATTATTTAAGTTTAATTACTCCAAATTATTTATTTAAGTATACTTCTTGGTGTGGTGATTAACAAAGTTATAGTGTACTTCTTTCCTGAAGTTTGATTTGGTTTGTTTTGAATTTTACGCAAAACTACACGAGGGCGATCTGCACTAGTCATCTAGAGAGAAGGCAGCTAGTCATCACCACCCACTGCCAACTCTTGGGCTACTCTTTTACCAATGAATAGTGGGATTAACTGTCACATTATAATGCCCCCACGGCTGAAAGGGCGAGCATGTTTGGTGTGATGGGGATTCAAACCCATGACCCTCAGATTGCAAGTTGAGCGCCTTAACCACCTGGCCATGCCAAATCTCTTTCCTGAAGTATCAACTACATCCTTGATGACACAGGTAGAATGGAGGTTACAAACAAAAAATTCCGATACACATATACTCAGAGCAACTTTTTTTTTTTAAGTTACATATAAATAACCACAAACAATATAACATAACTTAGTGATGCAGTATATAACAATCCTATATTAAACTTCAAGATGAAAAATTTTTTAAATCAACCAGTTCTCACTCACAAACACTTTTCAACTTTCTCACTGGATTACAAGAAAACATGGTATATAATTCTATCTTTCTTTTTTTTTATGCTATGGACAGTTTATTTCTTGATTTGAGACCATTATTTCTGTACAAATGCCATTAAGTGGTTTTGGTCCTTAATTTATAGCTTCACAGTTTATCTTGACCACATGCTTTTACTTCTAAATTAAGTATCATAGCCAAGAAGTGATTGAAAAAAGATAAAGAAAATAAAGCTGGACCACTTCATATCACAAAAATGTCCTTAAACAGCAAAATCCCACATTAAA